ACGAAAGACACCTATTCTACGTTTCTTTATGCCTCGTGTCCACATTATCTGCTGGTCTTCGCGTGGCTTTCTCAAGGCTGTTACAGCCATTGCAAACAAGGCGCGCTGCGGTAGGCGACCATCGGACATACGCAATACGTGTCCTAACCAACAGGGCCTATTGAGCTGGATTCAATGAGACAGCGAGCTTTTGTCCGATGCATTTATAAACACCCGACGACTTACCTCTAGGGTACTTACCCGCTCACTACATCCCACTTAGGCTAGACTACGTAAGCATCGATTGTCGAACACTGCTGAACGACATGTGTCTTCTACCCGCAAATTCAAGATTTCACATCCGTAAAGCAGAACTGATCGTACAGTGGCCCAATAAACGCAACTTTTCAACTTCAGTGAAACGTCAAATCGCCACCACAGGTGTGAGTCCTGCGTACGCCGCTCGAGCCTTCGAAAGGTCGGCGGTTATCTCCTTTGATGCGCTACGGTCGTTGGTCACGCAGCTACTTAAGTACGAGAAGCAGTCAACTTCAGCTAATTCCTGACCGTCTAGTTTCAGAACAGAACTCCGCGACACCCAGTCTTGTAGCATCACTTTGTACTTTGAAGGTGCAAAGCACATGCCGAACGGAGCAACGGAACTTGCTAATCTCCCAAGTGTTCTGTGTGTATCCTCCATGCATTCGAACAAGCAAACGATGTCGTCAGCGTACTCCAAATCGCACAGCTTTTCTCCAGCTGTCCATTCAATATCCACATTTTGGAGATCACTAAGTGCGTTCTCTAGTATTTCGTCTATGACGAAATTGAATAGGAATGGCGAAAGAGGGCACCTTTGACAACCACCGCTGTTAGTTAAGAACGATCTACTCAGCTCACCGTAGACCCTTACGCTACCAGAGGTATGTGAGTAGAGTGAACTCAGTATGTTCACATACTTCTGCGGCATTCCTTTGCGAAAGAGTGAACGCACAATGGATTCACGATCAATTGAGTCGAAGGCTCCTTTTAGGTCAATGAACACGACAACCGTTGGTCGACGGTGCGTATGGCATAGCTCAAGGACTTGATGCAGAGTAAAGATTTGACAGATACAACCGCGGCCTGGTCGAAATCCTGCTTGTTGTTCGCGGGTGTTTGTCTCCCTAAACGGCGTCAGACGTCGAAGTATATTGGTGGCTAGTAACCTGGTTACGACTGGGATCAAACTTATTCCACGGTGGTTTGCGCAGCCATTGCGAGATCCCTTGGAGCAATCAGTGATTCGCTTCAGGATGATGGAATGCGCTCGTGTAACCAGATGTTACGCATTGCGTCAGAAACAGTCCACAAGGTCATCGCCTCCTAACTTGAGAAGAGTGGGAGGAAGCCCGTCCGGCCCTGCTGCTTTTCCTTTCTTCAGGGCTTGGATGCGAGAACGAACCTCTCCTGCAGTAGGGGGTTCAGATGACACTGCCCGTGGAGCCTCAGCTACACCAGAGTAAATAATCTGGTTAGCGCCTGGCCAGCTGAACTGTTCATTGAAGTACTCCGCCCAGCGGTCAAGCCGTTGTTCCCTATTGTGAATAGCTTGCCCACTTTTGTCGCAGATTGTTTCACTAACCGTGGTTCGTCGACCTCCCGTACTGCGTATCAGTTGGAACAGTCTTTGACTATTCCCTGATGCATCTGCTACTTTCATTTCACTAGCTATCGTTGTTCACCAGTTCTCATGGTCTTTCTTGAGGCTCCTCGTGAGTTGACTTTGTAGACGCCTCCTAACCCTGTCTTGATCCCGGGTGGTCGGGATTTGCCGCATTTTCTCCATCAGTGCTACTGACTCATCAGATATCCAATGCCTCTGGAGGGGCTACGGTTTCAGATCCACAAGCAACGTTCGCTGCGGAGTGCATTGCTCAGCTGATCTGATCCCATCGTTAATTTACACTACCACCCCGAATTGCATTTAGCTCTTGCCCTAGTTCTGATTCAAAACGGGCACAAACGGCTGGGTCAGATAAGCGATGATCTGCCAATCGATTTGGTGGAATTTTCTGCGACCAGTGAGTTAGAGAGTGAACTGCATCAAAACTAACGCACGTTCAGATTCAACGCAGGTGGTCCGATAGGACCTGCAGCTTTGTACTGAGCCACGCCAACGGTAGCTTCCTGCTATGTGGTCGATCTGAGTTAGCGTGCCAGTTGAATTTGAGCGCCACGTTGCTGCCCGTTGAGAGCTGTCGGAAGTTGGTGCTTGATAGGAACAGATGATGATCTGCGCAGAACTGAAGAGGTCGATCGCCATTATCTGTTCGCTGACAGGGCAGAGCAGTGACCGCCTACGCAAGCGTCCGATGCGCTTAGTTTTCCAACTTGAGCGTTAAAATCACCTGAGAGAACAACTATATCGGAGCTTCGGCTCAACCGAATGAATTCGGTGAGTTTATCATAAAACTCGTCCTTTTGTGCGTCAGGACTACAGTTGGTCGGTGCATACGCTGAAGCTATGAACTAACACCTTTTGGTGTTGCTTTCGGACTCTGATAGACCCTTGGAGCTGCATCGCACATAAGCGGCTGTTGACGAGGATCCAATCGAGTAGTGCGGCTTTGGCTGAATTATTCAGTACAATGCCCGCACCACGCTGGCCTAATGAACGGGTTTCGTCATCACCTGACGTACGCAGGAAGAACCTTGAAGACAACCCCGGTGCACTTAAGTGGCATATAGTACTAGGATCCTGAATTCGAGTCTCCGACACGCAGCAAACATCAATCCCAAAAGAGTCCATTGTGCGCGCCAGACACACTTGTTGAC